TTGCAGTATGTAATCAGTAATAATGCAGAATATTCTAGAAGATCATAATCAATGTGGATCATTTTCTCATATATCTAAGAGTATAGGATCCAGGAATACCATCTTCTGATATATATAATTATACATACGTCAACTTAAATAAATTTACAAGCTCTTGTGCAGTGCCTATTTAATTTTAATGGGTTTACAAGTTTATTTGCTGGATTGAATTTTTCTACTTATTTCTTAATATTTCAGAGGAATTTTAGTTATTGGTTAGGGTCCCACCTACTATTTCTGCTGATGGAAGGGGGAAATTTTCACCAGTTTCCTCCTCTACCTGCAGACCTCTAATTCCCCCTTCAGGCTGTGCCTGGGGATCCCTCACATCCCACGAATCACAGATGCCTGGGGGGGGGGGAGAGAATTTGCTTATTTTACTTATTTTTACTTTTACAATTTACTTATGTTTTTCTTGACACAGGCATATGTCCAACTAATCAGCAAGAGGGCTAGAGTGATCTCTGAATGACCTTGCCTCCACCCCAAGTATATCTGTAGATGCCCTGTCAGAAATAGCATGTCAGAGGGCATTTTGGGCCACAGTGAGGGGGGGGGGGGATGGTCACGCTGCACTGATGGAAATCCATCTGTCAACAGTACTTTTCAGCAGGATCCAAGCTACAGTTATGAATTCCAATTTAGAATAATCACTCTTTTGCATGTAACCCATTGCTGTGTTGTGAATAAGACAAACTACATAACAAGTATATACCTTTGTACCAAAGTCGTTCTTCCTTTTTAATCCTGTGAAGGGAGAAATGGGTCCAAAGGGAGAGCCTGGTTTATCGGGACACAGAGGACCTACTGGAAGACCAGGGAAACGAGGCAAACAAGTAGGAATCCTATAGTGTCTTTTCAGTTCTTTCTAACATGTTTATAGTTGTGCAGTGTGTCTCGGGTTGTGGTCACATGCGGCATATAAAGCATGGGGTGTGTGTGAGGCTATTTCCTCCGGAGGAATTTGACCCATAGTTGCGAGATCACACTACCTTTGTGGGCGCAGCCCATCAGTGTGTGAACAGACGCAACTGCGGGTGAGTTGTTTTTGTGTGTGTGTGTTTGTTTCCCATGCACTTAAACGAGGAATCGATTAATTGCACCTCCACATTGAGGGCTCCCTATGGAGTTTGTGGTGATGCGCATACTGAGAAGGGAGGAAAAAATGGCACAGAGTCGGGATGGCCTGGTCAGACCATCCCGACGGCATGAGAGTGCGCTGGAGTGATCAGACAGGGGAAAGTCCATCTGTGGCCCATCGCAACCCATTCACCACCGGATTTTCCCCGGTGTCTTTTAACTCCACTTCTTTGGCAGAGCAGAACGGATTGGCAACGGCTGCGGGACACTTCCCAGATGTTGTTGTCTGATCGCTCCCTTTAAATCTGCCCGGCATTCGCGCCTATGTCAGGTCTAATTGTGCGTATGATCGCAGCCTCGATCTGGCATTTTGCGATACCGAACGTTTGTTTTCTGAATAGAAAAGTATGGGCCAAGTTGCATTAGGTGTCAAGAAAAGGAACAAAATGAAGGCTTTATGGGAACATATTCACATATACTTCCCGTTGCAAAAAGAACTATGTTTCTTTATATCTCAGTCATGGAGTATTTGTAACAAATGAAGGATGTACATGACAAATGAATGTATGGTACATGAGAAAATAAATGAGACTGTTCTAAAACATCAAAAGATTCCTTTCTCAAAAGCAGTGTGTAATGTATTCATCCCTGACCGCAGAGGCGACCTGGTTGCCACGCGGTCTGGTGAAGTAGCAGAGCTTTGGGAATGAGAACAAAGGGTCAAGTGGATCCTAGCCCGCACCAATAGGAGGGCTCGGATCCCGACCAAGAGCCTATGGATCTCTCAGACACTGTAAATAGCCAGTAACGAGTGTGGGGTGTGTGGTTGTTTCCTGGGTTATATGCACCGGCCTGCGAGCCAGCTCTTTGTCTTGTTCTGAACTAAGTAAAAGTACGTTGAGCTGAGATCACTCCCGTCTGCATACTTTTCACAGTGTTTTGGTTTGGTGGGTCAAAGTAACATGTTGAGTCATAGAGCAAGGAGGTGATGGATGATTTTGCCTAGAATATTGCACTGAACTCTTGGTACCACACGCCAATATTATTTCCAGGAACTACAGAGAGGGAAGGTCAAAATGGTCAATGATCATAACAAATTAGTCTATAGAGAAAGATGTAATATATTTTAACTTTGCAATATCATTGTTAATTCAGGAAGCACTGATTTATGTACATTGGGAAAGGCTCTCATGGGTACCTTCTGATATCCCACATTTACACAGTTGTGTCCCCCCCCCCCCGTGAATTTAGATACATCTAGCAAGCTGTTTCCCTGATGGTTTGAGACAGCTCAGAACTGCAGAGTGCATTTAATTCTGTATCAATTATGAAAGGGCTTGACTTTCCAGCACTGGAAAGTATTTGTCCCAGTGAAGAGTAACCTGATGCCACAGACTTCATTTTCACATGTCAGACTGAAATGGTCTTTGAGAACATAAGAACATGTAAAGTCTGCTGGATCCAGAGGTTCATCTAGTCCAATGTACCATTATACACAAAGACCAAACAAACCAAGCACGAAGGCCCTCTGTTGCTTCCCAGCACTGAAATCCAGTGGTTTACTACTTCTTTGTATGAGTTTCTTTGCCACTTTTTATGTGAAGGGAGAGCAGAAGAGAAGCATTCACACACAGTCCTGGCCCATGTAGGTTTTATATTTGCAGTGCAAATCAATGGAAGCAAGGAATTGCTTTAAGCATGTGTGGAACAACCCTTCTAGCATTCTGTCTTAGAAGTCAGCTTTTTCAAGTTATAGAGTACCGTGTAATTACGGGTTATGCATCTGTGAATTAGAGCTATAGTCTTTACCTAGGAACATAAAAATATCTTCCCCTGTGCCTGTCACAGCTTCAGAATAAGTAAAGTCACAGATTCTACCTCTTGGCTTTTGTGTATTTTAAACCCACCGGTCACAGTTCTTTCCCTTTCAGTTGTGTAGTTGTGTGCACAGCACACAAACAGGAGTTTGACTTCTTGCATCTGGTGACACTTATGCTACAATTAAACTGTTAGCCTTTAAGGCACCATGAGACTTTTTTTTTTACTGCAATAAATTACCAGAGCGACCCCACTGGATCTTTTACTGGGCGGACTTTTATTGTATGAGGGTAAATGCTTTTGTACATGTACAGAACCGCTTGTGAAGCGATCACTTTCTCTGAACATTTGTTAACCCTAAAGCTGACTTACCCTTCTGGCCAGAGAAACTACACCAACAAATACCAGAGCCCATTTACCAGACCCAGCAAGCAAGTTTCAACATGAAACCACTGTGGATGACTTGTTATTGACTATATTATTGAATACCGTAATGCTTTCTCTTCTGTTCTTAGTTATTCTGCCCCAGACAGCTAATTTCTTGAAGTCTTCCTTGTTGTTTTGAAAGAGACAGGCTACTACGAGAGCTGGGACAGGCAGGGATCTGTCCTGTGTTTAAATAGCTATTGGTTGAAGAAGAGGGGACTCTTCTCACCTACTCAGTCATTTCCTGGCTTCAGAGCCAGCTGAGAGATGCCTATACAAATTGCCTGCTGTGGCAGCTAAATTGAGAAGGTGTTACTTCCACTTCCATTCTGAGATACATCTTGATTACCTCATTGCCTCCTTGGATTCAGACTGAGTCCTTGCAAGCATAGCCATCACACTAAGGCAGCTTCCAAACACCAAAAACGTTTAAGACCAACCAAAAGAACAGGACACTGTTGAGCAACTCTACAGGTTTCAACCTGACAAGTCCTAGCAAAAAGCTTTTGTAGCATGCCTGGCACCAAGTTGGCTGATGGAGATTTCTGTGGGTATTTATGCAAATGCTCAAAACACAGCCTTCATAAATATGGATACAGCACTTGGTTGCTGTAGGAATGATGGGAAAGAAACTGGCCAGACTTTGCACTGTAAATCATAGCTGCTGGTCTCTGAACTAACTGCATTAAGCTCCAGGCCTGAGCAGCATGTTCCTGCTGCGTTTCTGCACATTAAAAAAACCAGCCTGTTCTTCATCAGTGTGGTACTTTGTTTTCATTCGATTTCCAAAACGCTTTTGCTCATCATGTTTCTTATGCAGTCTACACAGATATTGCAAGAAAATCATCTTTGAGTAACATGTGGATGCTGCACCAGTTTATGAGTAAACTTACCTACGGGTTGGTGTGGCAGTACACTGGTCAGAGCAAGGCCTGGCTCTCAGATGGGAGCAACAATGTGTCAGTTGAAACTGAACATCCCAATGGGGGACGGGCGAGTTCTAGGAAAGCTGAAAGCCTTCCCTTTTCCTCCTTTAGAAATTAAGTGTTCTATATTTCTCAGGTTACATTTCTGTGTGTTTTGACAGGGCTGAATAAAGTCATCATTGGCCCCGGTCACACGGGCAGGAAACTGCAGAGGAGAAGCGTGGCTGTTTGCCCTGGGGCAAACTACTGCGCAGTTACGTGATCAGACCTCCTGTGGAGGTCCTGTGGAGGTACCATGGAGGTTCCATGGCAAGGGAGAGGTGCCGATCACAGGACAAGCCGGCGCACAATGAAGAAGCGCGCGCCGCGGCAAACTGTTTTTTATTTTTGTGTACATGACAAATGCGCATGCTCCGTTGGGTGCGCATGTGCATCCACAGAGACTTGGACAAAAAAACCCACCTTATTTGCAAGGGGACATGGGCGGGCGCCGGATGCCACCGGAAACGCGATCAGACGCCCGCCCTTGCCCCGCAGTTTCCGGAAACTAGTACCTCCAAGGTACTAGTTTTTTGCCACGCAGTTTCGGCTGGAAGCCTCGGTTGAGCCACGGGAGTGCTACGCTTCCCAGATGTGCTGGTGAGATCGCGCCCGGAAACTCCGGCTGTTTTCCGTCTCACTTGTGTGGCTTCTGTTACGTGTGACCGCAGCCTTAGTTGATTAATCATATGGGTTTCAGTTGGTTAAGTCTGCATAAGTGTGTGTGTATATAAAAGAAGAATTTTGAATAAAAATTCTAGAGGAGGAGGCACATTAGTGTGCTGCAGCCAAAACAGCAAAAAGACTCCCCAAAGACCCCACATGTTGGCTTGGACCCCATCTAGAATTTCTGTGGGTACAGGGTATGTGTGATTTTTTGCCTATCTCCTTCTCCCGTGGGAGACCTTTGATCCCCCCCCAAAAAAGCTATTCCTGGGGGTCCTCATCTGCAGGAGCAGTTTGGGAGGGGGTCATTTTTAACTGCTGCAGGAAGTCAGAATCAGTGAAATTTCTCCCCTTCGTTGCATCCATGGAAATTCTCGGCAGGATCCAAGCCATTTATTCTTACTTACATTCTCATGAGAGAGAGCCCACTAAGAAGCCTGTTACTGCATAAAGTGTTATATTAAGTGAGAGGAAGCATTTATTCATGAGGATAGAAACAGAAGAAGGGCGAGGAAGGGGTGTTTATCAAGGGAGGTCAGAAGCCCCGTAATTTCAAGATGTAGATGAGTTACATTACAACACAAAACACAGATGAAAACAACAGTCAGGAAGAAGAGGAAATGTCATGATTACAGTGTGTAAGGATCACTGCCAACTGTTATCCAGTTGCCAGAGTAAGATGAATTGTGTACATGAACCTATAAGAAGAGACAAGTGATTAGGACAAAACTATAACAAGAGACAAGTGAGCTGGCTACTCACAAAGTCCTATTAAGCCCCCGTTTCAAAGCATCAAATCTATGTATGAATTTCAATTCAGGAGCTTCTTGCTGGAACCTTTCCATTTGAAAAGTTTTCTGTTGAAACATCTGTCACTGTACATCCTTTACAATTGTTACTGAACATCTAGGGAGAGTAAAATATTTCTCCACTGGTTCCTGAGAGTTTCCATTTCTAATGTCAGATGTGTACCATTTATTCTCTTGTCCAGTTGGCCAGTGTAAATGGCAAAAGGGCATCGCTAGCATAGCACATATCATGTCAAAGCATGTGCAGGTGAATGATGGTGCTTGGTCCTGTGACAGGGTCACTTAAGAGGATATGGGGACAGACATGGCACTGGAATTGTTGCAGGGCCTTCTTCCAGTTGTTTTATTTTTTAATCTTCATTGCATGTCCATTTTTGCTAGGAAAAGGTTACTTCAGAGGTTTGTGGGGTGTGTGTGTCTTGTATGGCTCTCTAACTACAAATAGAACCTGGAATGGGAAATACTCCAGACTCTCATATATTAGAACAAGATCCACAGTGAGAAGATTTGCCTCATGCTGTATAAGGTGTCACCAGGGCCGGCTCGCTCACTAGGCGAACTAGGCGTCCGTCCTGAGCCCTATGGGGGAGGGCGGGGTATAAATTTAATAAATAAATAAATAGAGTGTGCCGGCCCTTAGGGGTGCCAAACTGCCCCCGCCCCCCCATCAAAAGCTCCCCCCGCCAAAAGCCCTCTCCCTGACCGGGTGACCACTGCCGCCTCCTTGGCTCTGCTGGGGAGGATCAACTGGCAAGTAAGTTTGCTCCGGCCGGCGCAGAGGAGATGCGGGAGGAAGTGGCTGTAGAGTGAACTGTGCCGCCCTCCTCCTTGCCAAAAGCCCCCCACCCCGCCCCCCACGCGCCCTGGCCATAGCTGCTCCCAGCTGCTGTTGCCGCCTCCTTCTCTCCCCCGATGTGAATCCCGACCACCCTCCCTCCTTCCACCTGGGCTGCGATCCCTCCTTCCACCCGGGCTGCCCACAGCCACAGGGAAGGTAAGTGTTGCCTGCTCTACCCTCCTCAGAGGAGATGTGCCAGAGCCACCTTGGGGAGCTCAGCAGCAACCCCCCCCACCTGCTGTGTCAGAGTAGATGTGCCAGAGCCACCTTGGGGAGCTCAGCAGCAACCCCCCACCTGCTGTGTTCCTCCCGAGTAGGACCAGGGAGCGGCGGAGGGCAGCCTGGGCAACGCACTTCCCTTTCCCCTTTGCCCACTATAGCCCTGAAGGGGTTAAGCCTGCCGAGTGCTGGAGCAGCCAAGCGAGGAGCTGGCCTGCCGCACCTGGCCCCTCCCCCAGGGTTGGAGGGGCTGGAGGACAGTTTGGGTGGCAGAGGCCGATGGGGCGGGCGCTTCTGTCCAGCGCCTCAGCTCAGAGAGCACCAGTCCTGTGCGCATTTGGGGAGCGGATCCATGGTGGGTTGGTACTTCCTTCCTTCCTTCCTTCCTTCCTTCCTTCCTTCCTTCCTTCCTTCCTTCCTCTTCCTCGCTCATGGGGGGGAGCACCAGAAGGTAGCCTTGCCTAGTGTGCAAAAAACCCGGGAGTTGGCCCTGGGTGTCACTGTTTTGACACACTTCCATTCAGAATAAAATTCTGCTTTGGAGTTTTGACCTTTAATATAAAAGAAGAGAAAGGTGTTATCTTTTCCAGGACAGAACAGCTGAATTATGTTATGTGGCATGTGTTTCCACTCTTGAAGCTGTGTTTGTGTTATAAAGGAAGTTCCAAATGCATTAGCAAACATTTTAAGACAGACCCATTTTTATTACCAGGGACAAAAAGGAGATATGGGACCTCCTGGAATTGCAGGTCGACCTGGGAGGCCTGGTCCTCCAGGTCAACCTGGACCACCAGGAACATCGGTATCAGGTAAGAGAGGTCTTTCTTAAGAGATGTCCTTTTATGGAGTAAACCTGTATGACTCTGCATTGTCTGTTTCTCAGTATTAAAGTGGCTGAGTTAATGTTTTCTCCTTCCTTCAGGACCACTCACAGGAGGGAATTTAGTGTCAGGATAAAGAGGGCCTGTTTGATGGTATTATGGTTGGTATGAATCTGTGCACAGACTCAGCGAGAATGGATACTTGTACATACCATCACTGTCTGAACTAGAGACGGGAGACTTGCAACTATCCTCCTCCTTCTGCATATCCTCCTGATTATATCCAGATAATGTATTCACTTATTCATCCTCTCCCTCACTGGCTGCACTGTCACGGATCAAACAGTGACTATAAACAATACAACCAGTGGTATTCTCTAAGTGTTACATTTGTTGTCCATGTGCACAAACCCCTTGCAAAGGTTATGCGGTTCAGACACACACCAACCCAACACCCTGATATTAAATTATACATTTAGTTCTGGTAGAGATTCAGGTGCTTTTTTTTTCTTTGCAGGATATCTTTTTCTGTTTCAGCATTGACCCAGTATGACAATCTGATATTTTCTAGGACAACTAACCATGGGGCCAAAAGGGGAAAGAGGGCTTCCTGGACCTCCAGGGAAATGTCTCTGCAACTCCCAGCAAAATGTGAATATCCCACCATATGAGGAACCACTGTTTGGACAACCTTATTCAAAAGTCCCTGCAGTAAGTGAGTTTGTTAGGAGTTGCTCTGGGTAAAGGGATTCTCTAAGGTTAAGTCGCTGCTTTGGTCAACTTGAACAGGGCTGCTATAATTTTGAAAGTACAATTAATTTGTTTCTAGAAATAAGACCTGTATTGCTTTTGACAGTGTTGTTCTTGAATATGCATGAGTTTTCACAACCATGGTCATAACACAACATGTTGTATTCAATATCAGAACTCTTATGTATGTACATGTCATAACTCACGTATGGAGACCCCAGCCAGGGGCTTTCAAGGCAAGTGAGAAACAGATGGTTTGCCATTGCCTTCCTTCCTAGGACTTTTAAAGACAAGGATGGGAACAAGACGTTATCCATCTGCAAGTGATGATCCAGGCAAAATTCCTACAGATTCTATGAAAATATAGTATTCAGTACATCCTGTTGATTTTCTTTTCCAGATTTTTGTTGTAAATAACCAGGAAGAACTAGATAGGCTAAATACTGACAATGCCTTAGCATTTCGAAGAGATCAGAGATCTTTGTATTTCAAGGATACTTTTGGATGGCTTCCAATCCAGGTAAACAAGTCTTTTGTTTACAAACACTGGTTAAGGGGTTGAGTGGGGAAGTGTGGTATGTGATCCAATGGCCTGCTAGGGTTACCAGCTCTTAGCTGAGAAATACCTGGATATTTTATGGTGGAACCTAGGAAGGGTATGGTTCAGGGAGAGATCTCAGTGGAGTATAATGCCATAGAATTTATCCTCCAAAGCAGGCTTCCCAAGTACTTACTGTGATTCGGCGGGGGACAAAGACGTCTTTGCAGGATCATTCCTGCGGGGACAACAGACGCGCCGCACCATGCCATTGCCAGGAAGTGATGCCGGGTGACGCTCTGGCAATGGGGCCAGAAACTCGATGGTACCAGTGTCCAGTGTCATTTCCTGGCAACGGCATGTTGTGCTACAGGGAGACATGTTCCGGCCGGAGAGCATGTATCCCCCGCCGGATTGCGGTAAGTACTTGGCAACCCTACTCCAAAGCAGCCTTTTTCTTCAAGGGAATTGATCTCTGTAGTCTGGAGATCAGTTCTGAATCTGGGAGGTAGATAGGCTCCACCTGGAGGCTGGCAGCCCTGTTTAGCTATGGTTAAGCAACCAACAACATTATGTCTGTATTGGCTTTTTGGTTTAGTGCTTCTTTGATCATGGGGCATGTGAAAAGGTAGACTTTTAAAACATATCCTTTCAGCCTAAAGGCACTATCCCTTGAGAGTAAGAAAATGTCTATTATAAAATAACATGGTTTACATAGTTTTCAGCGGTTTCAAATACACAAAGGAATTAGGACTGTGAAATACACATTATATTATACTCTGAGACAACCAAGACTCCCAGCTGATTCTGGAACTAGTCAAATCAGAGTTGAAAGTGTTATGCAATTTTTTCCCCCAGTTAGTGAGGACAGAAACTGGATCCATAGATGTCACAACAAACTTTTGTTTATTCATGATAGACATTAATGTGTCTTGTTGCTGACCTCGTATTCTTCTTTCCTCCCTGCCTTTTGGGCAGAAATTAATTGAAGTGTCTCCATTTTGGAGCCCTTGAATCAAACTCCAATTTGTCACAGTTCCCAAATGCAGGTATCCTGGCGAACTGGAATTTGCTTCTTCCACACAAATGTGGATTCTGAGGTTTAATCCCAGTTTAGAATCCTTGTTTGTGGGAAGGAAGCACAACTCTGGTTTGCCAAGGCACCTAAACTGAGATGTAATGCTAAATCAGAGTTTGATCTGAGGCTTCTGAAATTGGAAAGCTGTCAGTCAAGCTTAACATGCAGGTCGAGGAGACAAGCCAGGTTTGTCCATCATCATGAACAATGTTGTGATGTCTGAAATGCAACCATTCATACCTTCCAGTGCTTGTGTATGCCCATAGCTTAACTCCCAGGACAAGAAGGATTGCTGTAGTTCAGTTCAAATGACTGTAGTACATTTATTCCTGCAGTTTACACACTTCTATGCTGTGGACTACCCTATTCAAGATGGCAGTACCTGTGGAGATGGGATCGTCCAAGATGGGGAAGAGTGTGATGATGGCAATTCCATTGTGACTGATGACTGTATAAGTATGTTAGATCTATTCAGGCCTAATTTCTTATCTTATTTTACATGGAGATCCGAAAATAAATGGACAGCCTTTTCCTATGTTCCACTGACATGCAGTCCAGTGGACATTCCTATGCAATACTTGTCCATTGGTGCCTGGCTCCACCCAAGCTGATAATTTATTTAATGTATTTATTTAGAGAATTTGTATGCTGTTCCTCCAGAAAATGCTTAAGGCAGCTCACTATTAAAATAAGAATGACCAGCTGATAAAAAAGGTCAATAAAAACATACCAGGGTATAAAAGCAGCATAACACAGAGCCCGTAATAAAGCTAAAGACTCTCCTAACCTCTGAAGACAGGGTACCGAGAGCAGGGCTTGGAAGGCAGATCTTAAGTGTCAGAGTGGACAATATGGGAAGAGAGGATCCTTCTGTTACCTGGCCCAAGCCGTTTAAGGCCTTAAGGGCTACAACCAGCACTTCAATTTAAACCCAGAAGCATAACGTTCGGGGTGATACCATCCCCGTAACCAATCCCAGACAATAGTCCAGCTGACTCATTTTGGAAGAGCTAAAATTTCCGGACTAAGGCAGCCCCACTAACCTGGAGGTGACCAGAGTATGGATCACCCTGGTCCAAAGCCATAAGCCCTGTCTCCATGCATCATTTGTGAGTGACTGGGGCTGTGTGAATGCCTGTGGGCATTTGAAGCAATGACCTACTTGCATTATGTTGATTAGAGGCCAGAGTTTCAGGCCTACAGTCTGCTCCCTTGGGGGGCTGGCAAGCCTCCTCAGGTAAAATGCATAGGATTGCAGCCTCGCTTTTGGAATACATTAATTGCACATCAGGCAGAATCAGTAATCTGTGCCAAACTGTTGTCATTAATGACTGGAGGAAAATCCATGCTGTCCTCTATGGAATTCAAATGCTTACTAAGTCGCCCCCTTTTCTTGTTCATGTCTTTATTGTGTATTAGGATGTCGTCATGCTTACTGTGGAGATGGCTACCGACAAGAAGGCGTAGAAGACTGTGATGGGGAAGATTTTGGATATTTAACATGTAAAACATATCTTCCTGGGTATGGCCAATTTAAATCCCTTTTAATTCTACTGAATCATATAATAATGTTATTCGTTCAAATAAGTGTGAGCTGCAAGGAGCAGTGTGGGGAAGGAAAAGTGAAAGTTCCGTTTTTATTCCTTTTCCCCCTTCTTATTTCACCACAGTGGATTTAGAGACTGGTGACGGGCTCATTAAAAATTTCTCTGAGACTTATCACGTCCTCTTTGCTTGCTTTGGAGGGCATTGTCCGGAGAAGTACCAGTGTGCCATTTGTAGGCTTGCCAAGTCCCCCCGGGGGGCGGGGAAACCCCGCCCCAGAGGCCCGTTCCCCACTGCCGCCGGATCGGGCCCCAGGGGGAACTCCACCTCGACGTGCATGTCACCAGGAAGTGATGCGACCACGCCGGGTACGCTGGGGGTGGGGCCATGGTCATCCGAGGGAAAACTCTATGGTTTTCCCTCGGATGGTCATGGCCCCGCCCCCAGTGTGCCCGGCGTGTTCACGTCACTTCCTGGTGACATGGATGTGGTGCGTGCGCGCTTTACGCGTGCGCACTCCAGGATCAACACGGGAGTCCCCCGCTTCAGGATAAGGTACGACTTGGCAACCCTAGCCCTTTGGCATTTTGGCTGTGGGACCAGTTCTCTCCCCCCACTCCAGTTCAGCATCAAAGAGACTGGAGCAAAGATTCCCTTCGTTTTTATACAATCAGGGGAAAATTTAGCAGAGGGAAGACTACCAGAGTGACAGTGTTGGGCCTAATTATATGTTGCATTTTCTCTAGGGATGTCCCCAAGGTGGCTTGAGATAGATATTCTGGAGTTCTGTACTTCCCAGGTGCATGGAGGCCGAATTTAGAATGGGACCATGGCACACAGGGAGAAGGGAGCTTAGACCTTCTCACACACACACACACCCATGCCTTTCTCTTATGGCCCTGGGAAATAGCTGTTTGCCTCATTTGGGAATGTGACATGTGGCCCATCAGTAAGTTACAGCCCCCAGCAAGACAAATAGTGGCTCCTTGGGGTCATTTCAGTTCAGAAAAACAGCATGGAAGGAAATGTCTACATTTCCTCTCCCCACACTGCATGGTCTCAGTCTGAGTTGGGCCCACATGCTTGGAACTCCAGAACAGATTTCCAAGCTGACCTAGGGATGTTTCTGGGGAAGAAGTACCATAGTTAGGCCTTCAGAGGAAATAAGCGATGCCCATTTTCTTTTCAACCAATATAATGCATCCACTCCCTTTGTGCTTAGAACATTATATTTGCTGCTGGGATATTTCCCACTGGCATGAGGGAGGCAAGTAATATGTAACTGTTTCCTGAGGAAAGCACTCCGATCCTCTTGAGGAGTCCGTTCAGACGGCTCTTTAGATCTGCCACAGGCACGATTCCCTGGTGGATTAAAAATGCACAACCAGACACAAATATCTGGGAAATGTCCCTGTTCTGTGGACATCCCGTTTTGCTGTGCCTCCTATCCGGACTTAAAAGACAGTACTTTGAATCTAGAGTTTTCTGGACCTGACGGGACAATAGTGGACTTTCACCCGTCTGATCATTCCACCAGCACACAATCCTCCCGTCGGGGTGGTCTGATGTCAGACCATCCCAAGCAGGTGCGATTTTTTAAAAACCACCACCCAATATGTGCTTAAACGCATTTAAAAATGAGCCTGCGGAACCCTGATCTAGCACCATGAACACTTTAATGTTTAAGAATGACCCGTGATATTGAGGACGATCACTTAATGCAGTGGGAGCTGGAGGGGGGATGGGTCTTTCAACATGCAAAATAGTCCCTCCAGTGAGCATGATCTCAATGGCAAGGGGGATGGCTGGGACTCATTTAGGCTACACGTCCCTCACGTGGTGCTTTGAACATTTGGTTCTGGGCATGCGCGGATCTACAAGGACGTGCAGTCATGCCCATGCATATGCGTAAAAAGGGGTTTAAAAAAAACAACATTGCACACACCTCCTTCAGTGGACGCCATCTAGACAATCCACAGTGGAAGCAGCGCGCAGTAAGGCGATTCCCTCGGGGGTGTCTGGTCGTGCAAAGATGGATTAAAAAAATCGGGATCAAATTTGAGCCGGCATCATGGCAGGATTGGCTGCCCATCTGAATGCACTCTATTTTTCTTTTTTTCTTCAGGGACACAATATCTCTATAGTCAGTAAACTCTGCTTGCTCCCCCCCCCCATTTAGTCAAGTTGCCAACCTTCAGGTGACACCTAGAGATCTCCCACTAATACAGTTGATCTCCAGATGACCAAGAAAAATTTCCCTGGAGAAAATGGCTGCTTTGGAGGGTGGACTCTATGCCATTACAACCCTGCTGAGGTCCCTCCCCTCCACAAACCCTGCCCTCTCTAGGCTCCACCCCTGCAAATCTCCAGGTATTTCCCAACCCAGAGCTGGTAACCCTAGCATTTAGGGTGCTGTACACAAATATCCCATGTTCATTAAGAGTGTGGTGATTCCCCATCACCTGTACTCTAAAATAAGCTGCAAAAATATTAATTTGACCCAGAACCATAGTGCTTCTGTTTAGCATAGCAGGGTATTTGGTTGAATCATCTCAATGACAGTCTGCTTTGCCTGCATTTGTATAAATGGCTCTGTCTGGTCAGCATTTCGCCAGCAGTTACTGTACTTCTCTCATGCTGTCAGGTATCATTACCATCTTACAGGAAACATTTAATTTGCAAATATAGTTATCTGCAGGGCCCTCATAGCTTATGAAAGAATAATGTGTTAATTGGCAGGAATAAGGACCCGTAAGAGTCCATTCTGGCAAAGCCTCTTCTGTGTTAGCTCTCAGCATGTAATTAGAATCCTCTGCAGCACCGTCTGCATTGAAACCACTGTGCAAAATGAACAAATTCATGTTGGGAAAGAAATCTGACAGACAGAAATTAAAGCTGGTATTTAGGTCAAGGTTTTGAAAAAGATCAGCTCCTTTTCTGGTTTGTTTATTGATTAAAACATTTGTATCCTGCCTTTCCCTTTGTGGTTCAACATAGCTTACCATTTGGTCCATTAAAATCATAAACATACAATAAACCATTCATAAAAACCGTCTGCAGAAATCCCATGCCTGCCTTTCGGGTCCTGCTAAATGCCCTTGCAACTCTTTCTAACCCCCCTCCCCTTAATTCTTCAAGGGTCCTTCCCCACAAATTAGGGGACACTATAAAGCAGTGGTGGCGAACCTCTGGCACGGGTGCCGTGCCAGAGGTAGCACTCAGAGCCCTCTCTGTGGGCACGTGTGCCATCACCCCAACCAGGCCCAGACCATCATTAAAGTGTCAAATTCTCTGCCAAATAATTTTAAGTAAATGAAGGCATTTGGGATTGCTTTCCTTACTATGTTTGGATCATCTTAAGTTAATGTAGTTTTTTCTAAAGTAAAACCTCAGTATTCAGGTTATATTGCCGTGTTGGCACTTTGCGATAAATAAGTGGGTTTTGGGTCACAGTTTGGGCACTCAGTCTCTAAACGGTTCGCCATCACTGCTATAAAGGAACAGTCTCTAGTAGATGCCAGGCAAGAAACCTGCTGGTGGCACACCCGGAAAGGAATGGTCTGCAGGACATAATTGGCACAAGAGGGTACATGTAGAGAAACAGTCCTTCAGACAGGACAATTGCTGTGATACCGCTCAGACTTGGCTGGACGGAAGCATATAATTCCTTCTTATGCACTGGTGCAACAGTGGATAATATTGGGAAATATATATTTTTTATACAAATACTCTAAAATGTCCAAAAGTTGGCCATACAGACAAGGAATGTCCTTCATCTTGCAATCAACATCAATGACGCTATTACAACTATTATCCAAATGATTTTGTTGTGCACCTAGGCAGAATCATTGTGTTTGTTTGGCCACAGAACTGCCTACTGAATATTAGGAAAATGTGATTTCCCTGCACTGAAAACAGATTTGCGCCTAACTAGCCATGCAGAATCCAGTGCCCGTATCCCTTGCTGAATTAGGGACCATGGGTATAAATCTGATGTGTGTTGGTGCATCTGAGTGGTCTATTTGCAGTTTGCTGATTTCTGTAGCATATGTTCCCACCCCCATTCTCACACAACTAATCATGTGCAAGGACTTTTAAAAATATGTAAACAGAGTGATTGCTTGGAAGGGGCTGGCTTCTAAGTCTTCCTTTAAAAATGGAAATAAAAATAATTTTTCCACATATCTAATGGCATGGCTTTGGACTATAACATCAGAATGAGCTGATGCACTGGTTTTGAATATCAACAAGGGGAAAACACTGGAGAAAAATCCAGCACATAGTAAGGTATGTAGATCCTAGCCTGAGTTGTTCTAGCAGCTTTAACGTTCTGTGCTGGGAAGAATCTCTGTCAGGAATGCCATCTCTGCCACATCATTGCAGAGTTCTAGATGACCTCCATTGGCTGGTGGGAAGATGCACCCTTGCCCACCAGCACGACCTGCTCTTCTCCATAAAAATACCAACCAGAGCTTTATGTCAGGCAATTACTTTTACTTTGAGATTCCCGACATGCACAATTCAAAACACCAAAGATTTCCATTGAGTGCAAGAAGCTTTTAATTAGGTTCTAAACAATTGCTGTTCAGTAAATTCATAGTAATGTATACATTTAGGCTTACTATTTGCTCACTGGGGGTGGGAGGTCTCCTTTCCCAGCTCCCATTGCCGACCAGCACTCTAACAGGAAGGGGGGAAGTCATCATTGGGTTACGGTGTTAGGTCATTTCCAGGGAAAACCCCAAAGTGGATTGCACCACTCTGGGGATTGCTGGATACTCTATGGTTTTACCACAGGGTTTTCAGCAATTCCTAGAGCAACGTGTTGTCACTTCCAGGTTTTCACTACTTCCTCAGATTCCAGCCAGTTGCAAGCAGGTGTCAGCAAGCTGCCATTGTGTTCTGTGTTTCCTGTACGCCTGTACAGTTCATTCCCCCCCCTGCCTGCTAGCCTGTATTTTATTTTGCTGTAATGCT